GAACAAATATCGTATGTGAACTCTACGTATATGAATTTCAATAAATCTGAAGCTATGTAATAATGGTATTACATAGCTTCGGCGCCTTTAACGGACTTCATAATTTATAGTGTACAGTTTTATATAATCATAATGCAATAAGAAGAACAAGTAAGAGTAGTAAAAAAAATGTGTAAAAAAGTGAAAAATGCATAATCTATACAGATAAATAAAATTGGAGTGTCTGTTTGTAATAAAAAAAAAAAAAAAATAAAAATATCTTTATTCACATAGACGCTTGCGCGTTCTTATGAAACGTCAAAATTTTACAAGAAATGAACACGTTCGTAAGTTACCACCGGTTCGGAAAGCAGTTTCTGTTGAGAAGAAACCGGCAAGAAACTCAACAGTTGCTCTTTTTAAAAAAAAAAATCAGTTTACAATATAATAGTACATGTACAATAGTCTTGTTTTAGCCTACGTGAGTATCAACAGTATTAACCCCACACATTGGCGTCGTCAAGATATTCAGCAATAGAATAATAGGCTTTAGCCATAAGTTTACTTTTAATTTTTCGTTTAAATTCATCAAGTGGCAGACTTAATATCGACTGTGGGATTTTATTATACATGCGCACACCTTGCCCCATGAACGACCTGTTTACTTTTTGTAAACGAAACAATGGCGTAGTTAGTTTGTCCTTATTTCTAGTATTTAGTTTATGTCTGTCACTATTCTTTAGATAACTATTAATATTATTTTTAACATACAAAATGTTACAATAAATATATTGAGACGCAACAGTGAGTATATTAATCTCTTTAAAAAGGTCTCTGAGTGTATTCCGGGCTCCGATGTTATAGATTGCTCGGACAGCTCTTTTTTGAAGAATAAATATAGAATTTAAATCAGATGCACTACCCCACAACAAAATGCCGTAAGACAAGATGCTGTGGAAATAACTGAAATAAACAAGTCTGGCAGTGTCGATGTCTGATAGCTGCCTAACCTTCCTAACTGCAAAAACAGCGGAGCTTAACCTGTTCGCAAGAGATGATAGATGGGGACTCCATTGGAGCTTTGAATCCACTGTAATTCCCAAGAATACAGCGGACTCAACAGGATTAAGGGTTACGCTATTTAATGTTAAGCTAAAACTTCGCCTTCTTACGCTGGGAAGGGTAAAAAGAAGGCATTTAGTTTTTTTAGCATTTAACACCATATTATTAACGGTAAACCAGTGGAGGATACGCGAAAGTGCACTATTCACGTCGTCATAATCCGACACGTTTCGGTCAACCTTAAAAATGAGCGATGTGTGTCGTCAGCAAACAGTACAATATCACATAACTCACTGGCATAAAAGGGGAGATCATTTATATACACTAAGAATAATAATGGACCCAAGATTGATCCTTGTGGGACACCCATTTTCATGGGGGACCCTGTGGAATTTACATCATTTATAGATACTTTTTGAATTCTATTATTAAGGTAAGAGGCAATGAGATTGAGGGCGATGTCACGAATGCCATAATAATCTAACTTTTGAAGGAGGGTTTCGTGGTCTACACAGTCGAAAGCCTTTGAAAGGTCACAAAAGACACCCATTGCATCTTGTGACCTTTCCCAGGCGTTATAAATATGCTTGACAAGTGCGACACCCGCATCCGTTGTCGATCTGCCTTTAGTGAATCCATATTGCTCATTGTGGAAAATTTTGTTCATATTAAAATGTGCTAAGAGTTGATTTAAAATTAGTTTTTCAAAAATTTTACTCAGAGATGGCAATATGGAGATAGGTCTGTAATTTCCTGGATCATTTTTATCCCCACTTTTGAAAACGGGGATTATCTTACTGAATTTCATAAGATCTGGAAATATTCCAGAATCTATACATTTGTTAAAAATATTTGCCAAATATGGTGCAATATACGGCATTATTGTACTCATTAATTTTATGGACATGCCCCACAAATCTCCTGTATTTTTAAGATTAATAGAATTCAAAACTTTTATAATATCATTAGTATCTATGTGATTAAATTTAAACGTTTGTCGACAATAGGTAACATTATTTTTTAATACATTAATTGCATCAATGGGAGAGGATTTTAACGTGCATGTAACATTAATTGCAATTTCTGAAAAATAACTTTCAAAACTACTTGCAATTTCGTTATCTGAAGTTATGGGTGTATTGCCTATCACTAGCTTTATAGGTTCCCTGAATTTCTTGGGTCTTCCAGATATACAGGTAATGATGTCCCATGTAGCTTTTATTTTATTACTAGAATTTAAAATCCTATTTCTTATGTAGATAGATTTTGCATGTATACAGACTTTTTTAAATATTTTTGAAAAATTTTGTACCCGTTTATGGAAATTAGGGTCGTGAATCCACTGCCTCATATTATATAATTCATACAGTGAATCCCTACTTTTATATATACCCACTGTTGCCCAGTCACTAAATTTTAATTTTGATTTTTTAACAATTGTGCGGGGTTTAAAAATATGATTATAGGAAGTTATGAGAAAATCAACCATTGATCTATAACAATCATTAGGGTTATTGTCTCCGATATCTTTATGGAATACATGCTGTGCTACTTTATCTTTAAAAGAATTTAGTCTCCTAGCAGTGATTGGTCTACACCTGATCTTAATTTCACTTGTAGTAATGTTTTCATTTATTGAAAATTTTAAACCAAGATGATCAGAGCTCAGATAATTTATAATAGATTTGTCATATACTTCATTGTGACAGAAAACGTTATCGATACATGTGGAGGATAAGTTAGTAACACGAGTTGGTTCATAAAAAAGATTTTTAAGTTTGAATGAATTAAATAAATTTAAAAGCCGCTTACTAAGTTGTGTTACTTGTAATAAATCCACATTAAAATCTCCACAAACTATGACAGATTTACTAGTTAAACACAGTTTCTTAAGGACATCATCCATGACACACTCAAACTGGTCGAAATCACCGGAGGGGGGTCGATACACGCATACTATAATATACTGTTGACTCTCAACGCAGGATAATTCTATAGAACGTTCGACAGAGAGTGCCATTATATCCTGTCGATTTTTACAGACTAGACTATATCATTTCTAACTAACACAAGAGAGCCACCGCGTATAGCATTTACTCTTACGAACGAACTTAACATTTTATAATTCTCTATATTTACAATATTACAATTCTTATGTAACCATGTCTCTGTGAAGCAGATGACATGAATATTAAATTTTCTAAGGAACAGTTCTATTTCAGGTTCTTTGCCACCCAAGCCTTGTATATTTTGATGTACAATATTTAATTTCTGTGGCCTAGGTGTTGTCTCAATGTTTAGTTTAAACTAACATTGTTTGATTGAATATTAAAATAACCGTTTTTTACTGAATAAATATGGATGTACACATGATACCTACGGAGTTTCTTTCGCCTGTTGCTTCTCCGCTAGAGGAATCTCATTACGAAACGGTGGTAGATTGAAAAAATGACTATCGATAAGTGAAATGTATATTTCTTATTTCGATGAATAAATCATTTTGATTTTGACTTATACCAAAATAGAGACCAGAGCCGTGATAGCTCAGTGTCCGGGCGCTCGCCTTTAATTCAATATACTCGAGCAACCTGAGTTCGATCCCCGGTGCCGGCACCAATGAAGTTTTTAACTTTAAGTGCTGACTTATCACGTGCTCCGCGGTGAAGGAAAACATCGTGAGGAAACCTGCATATTTTCGAAATAATAACAAAAAAAATATATTTCGAAAATATGTGAAGTCCACCAATCCGCAGTGGGGCCGCGTGGTGGACTATGCCCTGATACCCTCTATATAGAGGAGGCCTTTGCCCTGCAGTGGGACATGTATAGGCTGTTACTTTACTTTTTTATACCAAAATAACATTTTTTACAATTTTTGTCTGTCTATCTGTCTGTCTGTCTATTTGTTTCGGCTAATTTTTAAAACGGCTGGATCGATTTTGACGGAACTTTCACTGATAGATAGCTGATGTCATAAGGAGTAACTTAGGCTACTTTTATTTTAGAAATTTTATTTATTTGAAATTGTACGCGGACGAAGACGCGGGACACAGCTAGTCATATATAAGCAGAGTCAAGTAGAGTCTGTTCTCTCGGGCTGGGCGGCTGTGATACCACCAGCTCGAATGAGTTATTCTCTGACAACCGGTTTCAATATTCAATCTACAGATAGATTTGATTACTGGCTGTGGGTATTTGACATTAGCTCTCAAGTCGATATATTAACAAACAAGTCCATATTTTTATTAACGACTAACAAAATCTACTTCAAATATCTCGCTTTATATTCATCAACCGACTTGAAAAACGAAGGAGATTCTCGATTCGAATGTACTTTTATATGTTTGTCAAGTCGGTTTTCTTTTTAGATAAAAAAAAAATTGTCTTGATATTTAATAACGATAAACCAAACTGACTTCAAATATCTCGGTTTGAATTCATTTTCCAATTGATTTTCAGGAACTCCCTTAGCATCCCAATCCGTATCCAATGAAATACGGTACCACGTGAAAAGCAGCAGCTTTCAAATAAAAAAATAATGTTCAAAATCGTTTCACTCAACCGAAAGTTCTGAGGCAACACAAAAAATATACACTCGAATCGAGAACCTCCTCCGTTCTCCTCCTCGGTCGAAATTCAATTGACGACCCGAATGGCGTAGTGGGTAGTGTACCTGCCTCCTGCGCCAGAGGCTGTGGGTTCGATCCCCACTACTGGAAAAATATTGTGTGATGAACATAGTGTTTTTCTAGTGTCTGGGTGTTTATATATGTATAATATGTATTTATTTACAAAAGAAAAAGCATGTTTAAGTATGTTTATCAGTTTTCTAGTACCCATAGGCTAATGCATAATGGCTTTGCTTAGTTTGGGACTATAGAATGTTGTGTAAAAATGTGTCCTAAAATATTTATTATTATTATTATTAAATCTCCAGCAGGACCGAAGTGGAAACTCACCTCGAGAATCTCGTCGCCGACTTTAACCGCTGGCGTGGCCTTCGCGGCCGCCCCGGCGGGGTGCAGGCCGCACACGAAGACCGCCATCCTGCTGCGGTCTCTGTGCCCCGCCAGGCTGAGACCGAGCCCGGCCTTCGGGGTCCGCTCGAGCTTGACCACGACCACGCTCTCGCCGAGCGGCGCATACTTCTTGCGGATCTTGTCTGCGGGACAAAAAGGCATAATATAAATGTATATACTCGTATATAAAAGAGAATGTACGATGACGACAGACGACCCAATGGCGTAGTGGGTAGTGTACCTGCCTCCTGCGCCAGAGGGTGTGGGTTCGCTCCCCACTACTGGAAAAATATCGTGTGATGAGCATAGTGTTTTTCTAGTGTCTGGGTGTTTATATATGTAGGTTTATGGGTTATCTAGTACCCATAATACAAGCTTTGCTTAGTTTGAGAGTAAAGAATGTTGTGTAAAAATGTGTCCTACAATATTTTGAAAATATTTTTATTTGTGTACGTGAAGTCCGCTAATCCGCGTGGACAATGCCCTTATAGTTACACTCTGTACAGAGGAGCCCTTTGCCTAGCAGTGGGACATATATAGGCTGTTACTTCACGCATCCTTTTTTTAACATAAACTCATATCATAGATTACTACATAGTATAAAACAAAGTCAGCCGGTCTGTCTGTCCCTATGTATACTTAGATTATTAAAACTACGCAACGGATCTTGATGCGGTAGCGACGGGCGTGCAATCCCACTGGTACTGCTAATATGTGAATGGTCTTGAGCTACCGCCCGCTCACTCACCCGTAAGTTACATTTTCCCGCGAAATATTAATAAAGTGCCAAATGCCTCCTTACTTTTAAAAGAAAAGCAGAAAAAAATCATCTCCACTACGACTTGAAACTTGTTCATGTTACCTGTACTCGACATAAATCTGTATTACGTTAAATATTCCGTTAACTTCGTTCGCAACTTTTATGATGTACCGTCAATACTGATAGCAAGCCAGTGTAAGCCCAGCTTACCGACTCGACCCACAGACTTTTCAGGTTAATCCTTAAAAACCCACTTTTACTTGGATAAAACATGTTACTATATGCTAGGTCAATTGGAGTAAATGTAGCTTTTGGGGCGATGAAACGTTAATATTTATTACGGTCGAACTTTTTCTACATGTTTTAATGTTCAATCTTAAGTGCAGAGATTAGCACTATAAAAAAATTTAAATTTATAAAAAGCAATGGCGACATCTCTCGTTCGAATTATCGTTGTAAAACGATATTCAAAATTGTTTGTATGCTGGAAAGGATATAACAATAGATGGCGCCAAGCATTGCTTCAAATGCTAAATAGCAGTGTAGATAAAAGGACTTAAGATTCTCGTCGGTGTGCAATCGTCGTGTTGCAATCAGGCGTTTAGCTCAGTGGCTAGAGCGTCAGGCCGCGAATGACGAAGACGTGGGTACGATCACCACAGCGGCGACAATCTTTTCGTACTTTTTCTACAAATTTAATAAACTTTTATCAATTGCATTTAATGTCCTTTTCACAAACAAAGAGTACTAGCACAAATTTTACGTTACTTTTCTTTTGTTACGCTAAAGAAGCATAACTTACGTGTGTGAATTTTTTACGTAATAAGTTGGCTTTACGCTTTGCAACCAATTTCGAGCAATTTCACGGTATTAACATGGCACCCATTAACAAATTTTTGACATTAACCCATAATTCCAAGTTGTTTTTTTGTTTCTAATCCCATAAAACAGTTTCTACGTAAATTGCATATACCCCATCTGCCGATAGATGGCGCAAAATAATTATCATTATTCTTCCGAGCCGTGTTCATCTCACGATCCAATTAATATAAACAGCGCGGGCCCATGAAGTACTTTTATACGCCAATAAAATCGCGACTGGAGTGAATCTTCGAAAATGGACTCTTAAAAGCTAATCCGCGTCGGCGTCCAAAAAACTGTCAGGCTCCATTAATCGTCTAGGCTCTGTGGATTGGATAGATTGATAGTAAACATTTGCGCGGAACAGACATCAACATTTTTTACATACTCTATTTTAACCGAGGAGCTACGTAAATACTTCTTTGAAATATAATATTTGATTTTTACACGATAAACAAGGCTAATCGAGTGAATAACTTAAGTCATTAATAAGCAAGTAGCTAAGAGTTCTTATGTGATGTCAGGACTATAAGTTAAATGACTCGATAGATTGTCATAACCTGGAATTTATTTCAAATATGTTTTTTTTTTACTATTAACGAGCCCTAAAACTGTGGATTTCGGAAGTCTCTGTGTTTCTTATAAGTCCACGTGGACCGAGAGATTGAATGTGAAAACTGAATATAACTTTCTATTATTATAACTGAGGTAAGGTCACGCATCAGCTTCCGCTCGCACGACGCTCGGGGAAGTACCGGAAGACCGACGTGAAATTGAAGTATTACACATTCGATCATCCGGGGAAGTACCACGGCTTGAGAAAACGCGTGAACTGAAGTTATATCCTTTCGCGTTTCGGTGAGTAAGGCTATCTGGTCTGTAAGCCCACATATGTTGTAAATGTATACGGCGCCGGTATTCAATTAACATCAGGTGAACCACCTGCTAGGTAGTCAACTTTTCACACACAAAAAAACATTGTGCGAGGATTTGCAGGCTCGTTCGTAAACCGCGGCCTTGAAGAATAACAACGTTTTTTTTTAATGTGATAAGTTGCTAAGCGAGCAGGCGGTTCGCCTGATGTTAAGTGAATACCGCCGCCCTTGGACATTCGCTGCACCCGAGGGTTGCAGATGCGTTGACAACTTATGTACTCCTGCACTCTGTTTAGTGAGTGAGTTAACCTGACACACTAAAAGGTTGGTAACGCGTCTGCATCAGTATGGTAATCAAACAAAACTAGATGAACCGCCTGCTCGCTTGCAATCATCATCCGAAGACAAAAAGAGATGGATAAGGACAAGGAAAGAAAGAAAGAAAGAAAAGCTAAAGCATTTATATTATTGGCGCGTTTACGTTGAGATTATTAAAGGCAGTCTCGGAATTCGGTTATGGAGTAAAGTGTCAGTAATGCGTCAATTTGTCGGTCGACGGAGCGGGAGGAGATGTAATTTGGCCGTGAGGTTAATGCGAATGGAGGGGGGGATATTTTCCTGCGTTAGTGGATAGTGTTTGCTGTATCCTTTTAAAATTACATTAAGCTATTTGCTTCGGCGCCTAATTGATTTGATTCCCGCACGGGACATGTGTTTATGTACCCCACAGATAAATAAAGAATAAGAGCTAAACAACCCTCGTACTATGTGCGCTAGATAACCGATAAACATACTTATACATACTTTTCTTTTGTAAATAAATACGTAATATAAATAAATAAACACCCAGACACTGGAAAAACTGTAAAAAATTACGGCGGTAGGGCCACGCAGTAGCCTCGCAGTAGCCCCGGACGGGCCTGCCCATTCATGCAACATGAATGGGCAGGCCCGTCCGGGTCAGTACCACGACCTCACAGAAGACCCTCGTAAAGTATGACAAATACTTTCGCGTTTCGTCTGGTTAGTGAGGTAGCCGGATTCCAATTTGCAAAAGGTTGTCAACGCATCTGTAACCCTCGGGTGTGGCAGATGTCCATGGGCGGCGGTATTCACTTAACATCAGGTGAACCGTCTGCTCATTTGAAAATTTTTCGCATAAAAAAGACACTGGAAAAACACCATGTTCATATCACAATAATTTTCCAGTAGAAGGGATAAAACCCACACCCTCACTTAACACACAGAGTTCCACAACTCACTCAGCCAATTGGTCCAATAAATAAATGTTTTCGACGTGATGACGAACGGCGGGTTTATCTGGATAACACATTTAAAGTTATCATTCACATGCTAAGACCCAACGTAGGTGCGAGTTGGGGCAGGAGAAAGAATCGGAGTCCTTTAGTGGGTACTATATCGGGGATTCCCACACACCCTTACCTACCTTCACGGTGGATCCTAACTTTAAAAACAGTTCTTTAATAATATGTTTTCAATAACAATCAAGTCCGACATCGCAATATAATACTCAAAGCTTACCAATCTTAATCGGTAATATTAAATTGGTGCACAGAGGTCGGTGTGCGGTAGACATTTTCCAGTATTTTCTTTTAAACAGGCACATTGTACACATGGTTACCTAGTCCCAAATTAAGCACAACTTGTACTAGTGTGGACAGGAAAGACGAAAAAAACATTTAATTTGTAATTAAATACATACTAAATAATATACAAAAAAACAGTTCCTATAAAATGCTATGTTCATCACAAAATATTCTCTGATTCACTATCCGCTACGCCAATCGATTCGTCGAAATTTGATATTGTGCGATGAATTTGTAAAAATTCGAACCTATATCAACAAATACGTTTGCAAGTAAAAAATTAATTAGGCGACCCCGCCGAAATTTCTTACTGGGCGATGAGTTAGTCGAATTTCTAACACATATCGATGAATACATTTGAAAAATTACAAACGATTATATACGCTTTTAATCAATGACAAAAAACAGTCGAAACAACGATACGACTGGCCGAATCAAGTACAAAACTCCACCGGAGATCGCTTGACCTGGTTATCGACAAATGGCACGCGTACTACACACGGAAAACAATGTGACCGATGTTTCCATGTACGAACGGAATGGAGAGCTCTAATTTCGTAATGATGCTTCACGGTCTTAATTGCAGAGCTACGAGGTCTATCTAGCATCCATTCCCTAATTGGGAGCTTACGCTGCGGATTGTGTTGACGTTTTTGCGAATTACATGAAAGCTTTTGTTTTCGTGAACTACAATCGGTAATTCAAGTAAAATATCTCCCTATATATGTCCCACTGCTGAGCAAAGGGCTTTGTACAGAGGGCATACACACCACGGGCCCACTGCGGATTGGCTGGCTATTAGATATGTGATATCTTCGGGCTATTTCTTTTTGTTATTGTTTCGAAAATATGCAGGTTTCCTCACGATGTTTTCCTCCACCGCCATTTCCATTGCGAATTTCATTTGGTAAGGTCCTCGTGCGAGAATTTAAACTAGTTTTATAAAAAAGAAAGTAATCAAGAACGTAATCCCAGCCCCTCTCTTCTTCTCCTGTCCATATCCCTTATACCACAGTTGTCACCATTAATTTCCTTCGTTTACAATTTATAAAAAAAATTCTAAATGTTGTTAGCTTAATTTGTTTTTTAAGATTTTTTTTTATTATCCATTGTACTTTTTATTATCCTCTTTATCTTTGTTAAAGCATGATGTAATTACCTCTAATTGTAAGAACAGTTACGTAGATTCCTAGCATTTTATTTTTAAATTGTAGATGCTGTATCTTATGTTGGTAATCCTATGAATAAATAAATAAATATGGCTTCAGTGATTCCACGCAGCGTTACCATCATATTGTGGTCGATTGCTACAAAGTTTTGGATTCAGAAAAATATATCCGATCGCAAGCTGCAAACAACAAAGCACTCGATGTAGCATTATGATGTATGGTACTCGAGGGTTTTCGGGTCAAGTGTCCGCCTTGTGCAACGTCGAACAGATTGAATCGATAGGGCATGGCAACACACGCGGTGGGTTTAATGTATTAGCGTGTCCCGGGTTCGAGCCGTACTTTTAACGAGTCATATACAGCAAATAACAAAACCGACTTCAAATATCTCGCTCTGTATTCATTTTATAGTTGATTTTTACAAGTTCCCTAAGTACCTCCGGAGCAATTCGATACCAATGAAATTAATATGAGACCACATTCGCAGCATTAGCTTTCAAATGAAAGAAGAATCATCAAAATCGATTCACTCAGTCGAAAGTTCTGAGGTAACAAACAGAAAAATACGCTCGAATCGAGAAACTCCTCCTTTTTCGAAGTCGGTTGAAAAGATTTATAACAGTGATGCAAGGGTGATAATGAATCAATGAATACTTCATTGTCAACTACACACGAAAGGATACACAAAATTAACAACAGACAACAACAACACTTCATAGCGATCTCTTCCGGGCAACAAATGGCGTAAGGGCACGATTACTACTTAGGTGGTGCAATAGTAATCTTATCCTTTAAACGAGCAGTTCTTGTATATTTATATAATCGGAATCTCGGAAACGGCTCCAGCGATTTTCATGAAATTTAGTATGTGCGTAGATTCGGGGACGAAAAATCGATCTAGCTAGTTTTCGGTTTTAGAAAATGTCCTTTTATTCCTGTTTTCGGGGAATGAAAATATCAAATATATCTAATCATATCAAATATATCTATATATATCTAATCATATTTTCTTATTATTAGGTCGGTAAGGTCGAAAAATATTATGCATATTTCATTAATGTAATTTCCAAAATACATGATTTACAAAAAAAAAAAAACCCTCCAGGTCCTCCAGGTACTATACATAATATATGGCTAAATCAAATACATACGTGTATACACATACACACATGAACGTATACATATCTATAGAGAGATATATTGTTGTCTGGTTGTAAGGGATTGCTTAGTAGGGTAAAGTAACATGACAGTCTGTATGTGACCCACGGCTGGATAAAGGCCTCCCTATACATACGGTATTAGGGTATTAGTCCACCACGCGAACGTCAGCGGATTGGCGGACTCCACAAGTCTCCGAAACAATTTTATTACAATTATTCAGAAAATGTTCAAGTATCTTGACGAGTTTTCCTTCACCACTGACCACGTGTCACATATGTACTCGTATTGTCACCGGGTAGGGATGCCAAAAAATATCGATATATCGATATGTTTCATCAAATATTTCGATATATTTCTT